CCCCAAAACCCCAAAACCCCAAAACCCCAAAACCCCAAATCCAAACTCTCAGCCTGAAATCATTAACAAAAATGGGTCAGTGCACTTCTTGAACAGAGGAAGACCAAGAGATTCAGATCGAGGAGAGCCAGAATGCTTCTAAAGACCAATACTGGAAGACCCCAGTGAATAAACTCACAAAGAAGTTTATCCCAGACGATAAGAAGACCGAAGAAGCTCTAGGAGACGTAGAAGAACAGATTAATCCCAAAAGAGTTCAATTGGCCTTTAGTAAATAAAATAACAGAGAAATATCACAAAAGAAAGACTGTAGCTTCCATCGATGACTGGATTCCCAGTCAGAAGGAAGAACCTGAGAGCTTTCAAGAGTATGCAGAGTCTGACTACAACAAAGTATCTACTGAGAGTCATACTGTTTATATCCAGCCCTTGGATACCTCAATGACCAAAGAATTCCTATCCACTTGTCAAAAGTACTGTTTAGCTTACTTCTACCCACTTCCCGTTGTAATATCCAAATTTCGAGATATCACAAAGTCAAAAATCAGGAACAGGAAGTGACTACAAGGGTTCGTTCAGTACCATAGTGGAGACATCATGAAGAGGGCCAAGAAGTGGATCCCTGATGATGCTTACTGCATGATCTGTATCCTCAACATGGACTTGTACCCTCAAGACTCTTGGAACTTTGTGTATGGCCAAGCTTATCTGTGGGAGAGGACTGGAGTCTTCAGCTTTGCGAGGTATAATCCAGAGTTTTATGGAGAAGACCATGGCATGAGTGGTGAAGAGCTGAGAGAGCTGGTCATGTTCAGAAGTATAGGGACTATGGTTCATGAAATAGGCCATATGTTTGGAATGGGGCATTGAGTGTATTATGAATGTGCGATGAATGGTTCTATGTCAGCTGAAGAAGCAGATAAGCAGCCAATGCAGCTATGTCCGATATGACTTCGTAAACTCTGGCATAACATTGGATTCGACCCCCTTGAAAGATATCAGGCTTTAGTTGAAGCTAGTAGAGTGAGCTCAAGTTTTGACGAGACTAAAGGATGGTATTCTAAAATAGTCAGGCATCTCAAAAAAATTTATGCAAAAGAAGTGCTGGAGGAACCATTTACAAAGGATTATGAGTAATCTTGTAATCTCAGTAATTGCTGATCCATAGAAATAATATCAACGAGACTTCTACAGTTAAAAAACAAAGCTAAGTGCATATTTGTAGATTTTAGAAGATATTCTATTAAAATTTCAGGAATGGGGTTTTGGGGTTTTGGGGTTTTGGGGTTTTGGGGTTTTGGG